CGGAGCTGGGGGTCCTGGGTGCCTGGCCACGTGCGGGGGGGGTGGTGGTACGGGGGGTCCTGGGGGCCTGTCCAGGGGTCTGAGGGGGCCTGAGCTGGGGGTGTCAAGGGCCGGGCCAGGGGTCCTGGGGGGCCTGGCCATGAGCTCCTGGGGGGCCTGGCAGGGGTTCCGGGGGGGGCCTGAATTGGGCCTGGAGTTCCAGGGATCCTGGCAATGGTCTCCCGGGGGTCTGGCCCGGCCGGGGTCCCCAGAGCAGCCCTGTCCCCAGGGAATGTGGCGGCAGAGGCCCACAGTGCTGGTCCCCACAGGCAATGGGGGCGTCCGAGCCCCCCAACTTCTCGTGGGTGGTGGAGGGGCGGCTGGCGGGCCTGGCCATGCCGCGGCAGCCGGGACACTACCGGTTCCTGCTGGCCCAGGGCGTGCGACACCTGGTGTCGCTGTCGGAGTGGGCGCCCCCGCACCACGGCTGCTGCCCCACCATCCGGCTCCACCGGCTCCGCGTGCCTGACTTCAGCCCCCCGACACCCGAGCAGATCCAGAGTTTCCTGCAGCTGGTGGAGGAGTCCAACGCCCGCGGGGAGGTATGGCGGGGGGCACGTCACACCGGGGAGGCAGCGCCAAGGCGGGTAACACCGCAGGGGGGTGACACCGCGGGGTGGAGGAGGTGGCACCCAGGGAGAGGTTACACCAAGAGGGTAATGCCAAGGGGAGCAACGTCTGTAACACCAAGGGGTGATGCTGGGGGGCACGGGGGGGCTGCAGCAGGGACACCCGCACCCCTGCATGCCGGTGCCAGCTGACAGTGCGGCGCTGCTGGCCAGGCTGTGGCAGTGCACTGCATGCTGGGACACGGCCGGACGGGCACCATGCTGGCCTGCTACCTGGCAAAGGCACGGAAGATGAGTGGCAGCGACGCCATCCAGGAGATCCGGCGGCTGCGGCCCGGCTCCATCGAGACGTGGGAGCAGGAGCAAGCCGTGATCCAGTTCTGCCAGCGCGTTCGGTAGGTGCAGCCCCAGGGTGGGGAGTCCTGTCTCTATGTCAGCCCCTCCCTGTGCCACATCAGGACCACGGCTGCTGGTGTGCTGAGCGCAGCAAGTGGTAGGGGAGCTGCAGGTCCCAAAGCCCAGCTCGCCAGTGGAATCTGCCCCACCACAGCGCTGGAGAGGACAGCGAGGAGGCGTGAGAACAACCATCTCCCCAGGGCAGCGTGTGCCAGATGGGTTCGATGGAGATGGTCACTCCGAAATGGTGGGGGGTCTGTCCCAGCCCCAAGGTGCTGCCGTCTGTCCCTTCACGCAATAAAGGACTCTCATATGGCTTCTCTCCAGGGCTGTGTGTGACAAACTGGTGGGCAGCACACACGCTCGCGGCTCTGCCGGGCTCTCTGCCATCGCACTGCACTGCCTGGCTTGGTTGGCAGCTGTACCCCGGGCTGCAGGGCTCCTGGCTCTTGGGTCTCTGCCTGGCCTCATCCCTTGGGGAGCACGAGCGGCTCCACCTCGAGCACTGGTGGGCAGCCTCGGAGCTGGTCACCTGCCAAAGCAGCGATGCCACGTGGAGGGTGGCAGCCGCGTCAGTGCACGGTGGCTGGCCCGGGACATTGATGCTTAAGTGAAGCTTAGACGGAATTTAGGCATCTCTGTCCAAAAGTCCAATCCTGAAAATCTCTTCTCAGCTGCTCCTAACCTTGGTGGCATTTAAATCCTAAGTGCAAGAAGTGTCACCGTCCCCGTTCCTGGGTGCGCAGCACATGGCCGGGAGTGCCTGGCGCCCACTGGGCATGAGCACTGTGTCCGCACCCTGTGCTGGCAGGGCCCTCGCCTCTGCCAGGCAGCTCCACAGCCCCCAAACATTGCTCTGAAACCCCAAAATGTCATCATCTTCCCTCAGGAACCTTCCATCAGGGTGCTGCTGACAAAACAGCTGGGCCCTGCTCAGAGCCGTGGCTGGGGGCAACCGACCATCTCGGAGTGGCTGTAGCACCCTGGTGTCCCCCTTCCTGGACCCAACTCCTCCTGCAGGACTTGGGATGGGACCAGCGGGTATGGAGGAGGT